CTTCCTTCCTTCCTTCCTTCCTTCCTTCCTTCCTTCCTTCCTTCCTTTAGAGTTTTTGTATGCCGTCCCATCGCTTATAGCCTTGGGACGGCTCACATAAACAAACATATACAAATACAGTTAAAACTCAGAAACACCCTGGCTGCACAATTAAAACCTATAGATACTAAGCATTATTAAAATATTTTTTTTAATAAAAAGGTCTTAGCTTGGCGCCGAAAAACAAATGACAGCGCCAGGCAGACCTCTCTGGGGAGCACATTCCACAGATGGGGCGCCACTGCAGAGAAAGCCCTCCTCTGGGTACTTTGCCTCCTGATGTCTCTCACGGAGGGCTCCTGAAGGAGAGCCTCTGTTGCCGATCTCAAGGGGCGGGAGGGCAAATAAGGAAGCAGGTGTTCCTTTAGGTATCCAGGTCCCAAGCCGTTAAGGGCTTTGTAGGTGATAACCAGCACCTTGAATTGAGCCCAGACTTCGATGGAGAGCCAGTGAAGCTGGTAGAGGACTGGGGTTATGTGAGAATAATGCCCAGTCCCCGTCAGCAACCTGGCTACTCTATTTTGCACCATCTGAAGTATCCGGATTGTCTTCAAGGGCAGCCCCACGTAGAGTGCGTTACATTAGTCCAACCGGGAAGTAACCAATGCATGTATCACTGTCGCTAGGCAGTCATCCTTCAGGTAGGGACGCAGCTGATGGATTAGTCGAAGCTGAAGGAAAGTGCTCCTCGCCACCACAGTCACTTGAGCCTCCAAAGACAGCTCTGGGTCGAGGAGCATTCCCAAGCTGCAGACTCCGTCCTTTGGAGGGAGTGCAACCCCATTCAGGACAAGGTCCAAGTCATCTATCCCGGAGCCCGAGCCACCCACTAACAGGACCTCCGTCTTATCTGGATTGAGCTTCAGTTTATTGGCCCTCATCCAGTCCATTACCTCGGCCAGGCACTGGTTCAGTACAGCCACTGCCTCACCTGGATTGGTTGAAAACGAGAGGCAGAGCTGGGTATCATCAGCGTACTGATGTTTCCGCAGCCCACACCTCCGGATGATCTCTCCCAGCGGTTTCATGTAGATGTTGAATAGCAAGGGGGACAAAATAGACCCCTGCAGTACTCCATGGCATAGCTGCCATGGCACAGAGATAAAGTCCCCCAGCACCACCTTCTGGAATCGGCCGTCGAGGCAGAAGCGGAACCACTGCCAAGCAGTGCCTCCTACTCCCAGCCCCCTTAGCCTATCCAGAAGGATACCATGGTCGATGGTATCGAAAGCCACTGAGAGATCCAGGAGAACCAACAGGGACGCACTCCCCGTCTCTCTCCCTGCACAGGTCATCATACAGGGTGACCAAGGCAGATTCAGTACCATACCCAGGTCTGAAGACAGACTGAAATGGGTCCAGATAATCAGTCTCATCCAAGAGAGCTTGGAGTTGTCCTGCCACCACCTGTTCTAACACCTTGCCCAAGAATGGGATGTTGGACGGTCTTTAGGACCGTCCTGACCACCGCCTCCTTTAGAGAGGCAGGCAACCAGCTGTTCCTCAGAGAGGCGTTGATGACCTCCAGGATCCAGGCACCAATCCCATGTTTGGCTTTGGACAGTAGCCACGATGGGCAAGGGTCAAGTAAACAGGTGGTGGGACGTACTTGCCCAAGCACCTTGTCCACACCATCAGGCCGCAATCACTGAAACTCAACCAACAATATATGACCAGACGGTAACACTGCCACCTCCCCTAGGGAATCTGAATCACTAGTGGAGTCCAGCTCGTGATGAATCTGAGCGACTTTCTCCTTGAAGTGCTGGGCAAAGTCGTCACAGCAGGTTATTGAGGGTGGTACAGGATCTTTCTTAGGGCCTGGATGTACCAGCCCCTGGACCACCCAAAAAAGCTCCGCTGGACGGCACTGTGAGGAGGCAATGGAAGTGGAGAAGAATTTCTTCTTCACTGCCCTCACCACCACAGCATACACTCGATAATGAGCTCTTTAGTGTGTTCGGTCAGATTCATCAGGAGATTTCCTCCACCTATGCTCTAGCCGTCTCCCAACCCGCTTCATCGCCCGTAATTCAGGTGTATACCAAGGGGATGAACAGGCTCTGCCAGGCAGGAGAGGACGCTTAGGAGCGATCATGCCAATAGCTCTGGCCATTTCCCCATTCCATAGTTCAACCAGAGCATCAACAGGAGCGCCAGCTTTATCAACCGGAAACTCCCTCAGAGCTTTCAGGAATCCATCAGGATCCATCCAGCTCCGAGGGCAGACCAAGACAATAGCGTCCACACCCTTACAGAGGGAAGGGCCACCATCAAGCTCGAACCTCACAAGGAAGTGGTCTGACCATGACAGGGGAGTCAAACATAAATTGCTCACCCTCAGATCACCCTCTTCCTGCCCTGTCGAGAAAACCAGGTCCAGCATGTGTCCACGTTCATGGGTTGGACTAATAACATGTTGAGACAGCCCCATGGCCGTCATGGAGGCCATGAAGTTCTGAGCCGCCCCAGTCAGAACAGTCTCGGCATGGAGACTGAAGTCCCCCAGGACCAGCATCCTGGGAGTCTTCAACACCAGGTCCAAGACGATCTCCGTCAGCTCAGGCAGGAGTCTGATGGGCAGAAGGGCACACGGTACACCAGCAGAATCCCCAATCTGTCTTGGTCGCCCAGCACCAGGTAGAGGCACTCTAGACCTGGTCTCAAGAGAACAGGAAGCCCCGCAAGGGTAAATGAAGCCCAATGAACTAAAGCGACCCCCCTCCCCTCCCCTCTGGGTGTGGCTGGTGCTGAACCAGATACCCGGACAGACACAGTTGAGAGAGGGACACGTCCCTACCCTCTCCCACCCAGGTCTCTGTGATGCAAGCCAGGTTGGCCCCCTCATCCACAATTAGGTCGTGGATGAGGGATGTTTTATTATGGACCGACCTGGCATTACGTAACAGCACCGTCAGGCCCGAGGGGAGGTTGATAAGCATACCTGGAACCTTCTGGCTGGGGGAATAACCAGAAAGAGGAACAGGTGTCAACCATCTGTCCCTCCTTCTTCTGTACTGACACATTAAACCCCTAATGCCATAATGATCATTACCCAAAACCACCCCAATGGCGGCGCCCACGCACTCCCCAGGCAACCCCATGGAAGCAGCCAGGTGTGAATCGATTAAAACAAACAGAGTAAAATCTAGATTAAAATACAATTAGAAACAGTAAAACCCCACAACCACCCGACTACAGAGGCCCACCCAACAGTGTCTATGGCCAGGCCAGCCCAGCCCCCACATGGCCCCAAACAGCGTCACCGCCCTTAGGCTGTCGCCCTCCGGCCACCAGCTGGCGAGTTAAAGCCACGGCCCCTCCCCTGCACCCTGCCCCCAGTCTGGCGCAGCTGCCACCCACGCCGGGGGGGGGGGCAGGAGCAGGGCACGTGGAGCACTCGCCAGTAGGTGGGAGCCTGCAGGCCAGCAGTGTCTCGGTGCCGGGGTGGACGCTGTCCGTCCCTTGGGGCAGCGCTGTCAGTGGGCAGGGCCTCGGGCAGCCGCGGCAGCGGTGGGGTCCTTGCAGGCGACGGTGGTGAGCTGTCCCTCCCTCCCGGAGCCAGCTCGGTCGCGGCCGGCAAGTTAAAGCCGCGGCCCCCTCCCCCGCGCAAACATTTTCCCACGTTTGCTGTGTCTCTCACATGCCTTTTTACAAACTCCAAATAGGCTTTGATATGGGTTTGTTTCAGCAGTGACTTTCTTCTCACCACTCTTCCATAACGCCCAGTTCTGTAGACCATCAGAGATATTGTTCCATGGGTAGTTTCTCCCATCTCTGCTGTGGATCACTCCAGCTCTTTCAGAGGTAGCACTGAACCTTTGCTAGGAATTTCTAATGAATACTCTCCTTCTCAATCACTGAGTTTTGGTTGATAGTTTTCTGTAGTTGAGTTGCAGTTCAGACATATTCTTGAAATTGCAGTAAATTTTTTAATAATGGTGCTCTGGAGGATGTTTACGGCTTTGGATTTTTTAAGTAATTCAAACCTGAATGGCTCCTTCAAAATTTATTCCAGAGTTATTTTGATAGCTCCTTGGCTTCCATTATGCTGTTTGTTCAGCTATGCATTCCAGCAAACTGAAGCCTTCTAGAAAGAAGTATATTTAATCTGAGATCATGGTGCACTATAATTCCACACAACTGGACTCTACTCAACTAGTTACTTCAAAGTATGTAACTTCTGGAAACAGTAGCTTGCCCCAGCAGTTATTTTGGCATGTCACAGCAAAGGGAATGAATATTTATATATACAACATGTGCTAGTTGTTTTTGGTTACTTAACTTTTGTGCCACAATTAAGATAATTTGCACCTTCTTACTGGTATCTTCTGTACATCAAGTGGCAGCAATGCCAATTAAATCAATTTCAATTGAAGGCTGTAACACAACAAACTGTGGAAAAATCAAGGTGGGTGAATGCTTCTGTAAGGTACTATGCATGGAAGAGACAAAATGATGTTTGAAAGATAAATTCCATACAATTGATTATTTTTATTACATAAAATATAGAATAACAAACTAATAAGGAATCTGTGATTTGTTACCACCTGGTTTAAGCACTTTTAGTGGTCTATTATGTTTCTTAGCTTATTAGGAATACATTTCAATGTGACAGAACAAACCATACCTCTGCAGTTAAATTTGGCCGTGTCGTAATGTCGTTCAGCACATCTGAAAGAAAGATTGTAATACATGAAGTACAAATACAATATGTACCAAGGGGACAAATGTACTGCATTTAAAAGCCCTTTAAAACTTAGTTATGATATCCATGGGGGGAGCAAATACAAACAACACATCTGTTGAGCTTCATAGTTAAATATATAGAAATATTGTATATTGTAACCACGTAGATAAATACAAATGCAGTTGAAAACAGAATTTAATGTGTCTTTCCTAATGTGGTGCCCTTCAGACTAGGGAACTCTCTGCATCCCAAGCCATTTGAGCCACTAACACAGAGGTAGGCTCCAAGTTGGGGAAGTCTGAGCTAAACTGAATCTTTTCTTTAAAAATCCTTAAAAATATATGGACACATGTATATGGTACACACAAGTCAATATACAGTAATCAGGAAAAACCCGGTGTGCACCAGACTACAACAGGGTACAGCAGATTTGGCTTGGGAAGATCTGGGTTCATAATCCCCAGTATGCCCTTGGGCTCACTGAATGATGCTAGAATCATCTGAGAAGTCTAGTGTATCAACCAGAAAGTGACGAAGCAGCTCATCCTTTATTAATCCAGTACAGACTTGCTCATTAGGGATCAGGAACAGATTATATGTTTATGTATTTAAACTTTTTGGTGAGTTTGTTCTTTTCCTGTATGAATTACCATATGTCCTGTGAGGATAAATGTAACAGACTGACAGTATCCTGAACAAGTGATGTGATACCTCATTTACTTGCATCCCACCCAATACTGCCCCCCTCAAAAAAGGTGAGTCAGAACAATAATTTGGACCAATTGTGTCATATTGGAAGTCTGCTATCATGGTAATTGGCTAATGCTCAGAACTTGTTCAAGCCCAGGAGAAGAGCACAGTTTCACTATAGAAGCATCTACTACTCTGGCCTAACAGTTAGGCACAAGTGACTAAGACATACTGAATTCCTATTAAGTAAAGCTGTTTTGTAGCTTGATTTAGTATATGGTTATGAAGGCTTTCCATCTTCTCCAACATGATTCATTAGCTTGTATGTCCCCTCCCTCTCACACACACACACACACACACACACACACACAGAGGTGTTTGCAAATATTTACCACATCTACATTCAAAGCAAACTAATATTCTAACTTCCTTACTCTATAGTAAATAAGTTTTTTAAAAAATCACAGAGAAGGCTTGTGTCACAGAAGAGTTCAAAACTTCAAAGGGATGGAGATAGGGAACAGACCAGGTGGTTACACTTAAAGAAGGGATTTAGAGGGCCTAGAAATCTCAAGGTTTAACCGAGTAATTTTCATCTTTAGATTATCAAGTGCTAAAAGCCCAAGGATGCCAGAGAAGGCCAGGCTGAATTGCATGCAAGAGGCATTGGTATGTGGTTTGACAATTACTCCACTGGTCAGCTGATCAGCTAGGAGCAAAATGATGAGATTTGAAAGTGCTTTGGAGGGCTTCTCTTCAGTGACTCCTGCCTGCCACAAGTTGAAGAACAGCTGTCCCCCTGCCAGTGTTTATGTAGACTGCAAAAGTAGTACAGTCAGCCCTCTATGTTAGCAGGGGTCAGGGGCACAGGACCCCTGTAAAAGTGGAAATATCTTTAGACCCCCCCCCCCAAACCTTAACTCTTAATACTGTTGATCTGGACCGCTGATCTGGACCGCTTCTTCCTCTCTGTGTGTCTTCATGCCTACAGTAAAGGCTTCAGGAATGTCCCTTTCTGTTTTCTTGATATATCGTACATAGCAGCGTATAAGACCACCCCAATTTTGTTCCTTCCTAGTTTTGGTTTCAAGGGCCATCTTATATGCTGATATATACAATAATCAGCCAGGAGGTGTTTCAGAAAAATACCCAAATATATTGGGTATTTTCTCATCTACATGTGTTTGCTGCAATTTTCCTCAGTAGGCCACACTTTTTAAAAAAATTCCATTTAATTACTGATGGTGAACCCACAAATAATCAAATCCGTGAAAGTTAAATCCACAAAAGCTGAAGTTCAACTGTATATGTAATTAGAGTAGTGAGAGGGCTAGTTTTCTTATTTTCTGTCATAGTGGTGAAACAAGATTTTAGAATTGTAGGGGACGTGGGATTGGCTATACCTAGAGTACATGTAGTTGCTGTGATCCACCATCTTTTTTTCCTTGCCCCTTTTCACCCATTTTAACCTTTTAACCCTTCTTTCCCCCCATTTTATGCCAATAAAAGGATTTCTTATCCTCAAAGCTTCAGTGAGTGAAATGCTAATTTCACTGCCTTGGCTGGTAGGGTGGCCAAGGAAAGCTTAAGATTCTTCCCACCAAAAGGGCTGGGGGAAGAAGGGGATTTCCCTCAGCCGACCATAACAGCTTCTAAACTATTTGTGTAAGGCCATTTTATTTATATCAACTCAGCCAGATACTCAACATGACAGATCCACTAGATGAATCCAGGAACTGTCAGGAAGCCAACTGTTGGATGATGTGTAGTATCTTCTAAAAATCATATATTTAAAATGCAAATTATGTACACTGCTATTATTACATATGTGTGTGATGTATATAACTTATATAAAGAAGTGTGTTTCATTTTAAACACAAACAGATAAAATGAAATGTTTTTCATCCCTAGTAAGTAGGTCAAAAATACTAATTTATCATTGCAAACTACTATCAATATTTAATGACAGCATTAGGGAAGGTGCCCCCCACAACTTCAGTGGAAAATAATAGAAAACTGGTGAAATAGATGAGCAGATGTCAGTAAAACATGCAGTTCTTTGGGCTGCTGAAATGTCAGTTTTCATATCTTTCTTTGTTCTTTTCTTAACTTTAAACAATATATGCAAAGTACATGCACCTGCATCTAATTTTTTTAAAGGATTCCACTACTACGGTAAGTGTTAGTGTGCAAACACAGGCAATTTTCATCTGCTTGCTCCTCCCACTTTGTTACATGTCTCTTTTTGGCTATTTAGCTGAAGTGTTCAGGAAGGAGGAAAGGAGGCTGAAGCAGCTTCAGGATACTTCATAACCCGGCTGCTTGTCGCCTTCCCCCTCCATGCCCCCTTTTGCCCCTGTTCAAAGTTGGCTTCTTGACCTCTGTGAGCATGGTTATTTTTGCACCAGCTGTGAGGGCACAGGGGAGGGGAATTAGAGCTCTGATTCTCAGTAGCTCTGAGCACTGTCCCCAGCCTTGCAAATAAGTAACCTTACTATCTTGTAGGTCCTTAGACAATGTCTAGGGACCATATGATCATTTCCTCAATTATAGCAAATGCACTTAAACTTTCCCCCTTCCAATATTCAGGTCAAAATACGTATGTACTGGGAAAAATTAACACCTGGTTCTTCTAAAGAATTCATTCTTTACTAAATACAAATAAAATAAACAAGTTCAATTAGATTTCTCTAGCGCAGACGTGGGCAACTTCTGGCCTTCAGATGTTTTCACTGATGGCTCTCAACAGCTATAGCCAGCATAGTCAATGGTAAGGGAAAATGATAGCTGCTGTCCTCCAGATTCTTTGGCCTACACAATTCCTACTGCATCAGAAAATTTTGCCATTCAAACTGAAATGTTTCCTATGCAGATGACCTGATGGTAATTAATTTTCTAATTTGTATTAGAAAAATTTCTGGAAATTTTTCCAATTCAACATTTTCCAGAAAACTCACATTGCTATTTATTACAAGTGAAGTAACAGGGGATTTAATTAGTTATACACATTATTGGGGCACTTTGTCAATCATTTAACAAGTCTTATAATTTAATTTGTGTAAACTATTGTAGCTTTTAAATTTGGCTTTTAAATTCCGTATTGTATTTTTATATTGCTTTCATTGTTACTATATTTTGTATTGCATTTATTGTATTTTATCCACCGTTCTGAACCACCTAGTTGGTATAGAAATATAAAGCAGAAGTGCAGTCATAATTTTATGCATGAACTTCAGGACAAAAGATGAAGGATCCTAAGCTACACCCAAGGAATTTTAAAAATATTAGCAGAGTGGGGATAAGTGAAGTAGACTCATGCAATACTCCAGGTAACTTAAGCTGTTGAACCAGCTGCAGATCTTCCTAGACAGGAATAGTCTGACTGTAGTTATCCACAATCTTCCTCCAGATTAGTTTACTGCAATCTATCATATGTGAGGCTAGTCTTTAAGTCTGTTCAACAACTTCAGCCTGTTCAAAGCATGGCAATTTGATTACAAAGACAGGCTGATTTAATCACATTACCTATGCTGAAAATCTTTAATGGGTCCCTGTGTTTTTCTGAGCACAATTCAAGATAATTATTTTGGTCCTAAACACCCTATGTGTTATGGGCCCTGAGAGTTAATAAATATAATATTTGTGGAACCACCTCATCCTCTATGAACCCACATTTATGTAAAAAAAAAAAACTTTTTAAAGGTGATTGGGATCATGTGTTATTTGTCTGCTTTGCTTATCTGAAACTTTTTCTTTTTAATGTTTATGTTCTGTTAGGTTTCTTTTTCTATTATTTTATTACATTTTTGAGTGTAGACTATTATAGATATTTTAATACAAAAGCAGTATATATTTTAAAATAAACAAAATCTATCAGGTCCAATAAAAATGCATTTAGGAGAACTATGGATGGATACAACTCTTTATTTATATCTAAGAAAGGTAGGTTACCATACTGGTAACTGTCATTCTTCAAGTGGTCATCTGTGCATTCACATATGTGGGCTCTGTATGCATATGTGGAGCTGTTTTAGGAAGACTCCAAAGCTGAATAGTATTCGTCAGGAGGCAGGCCCATGGACACACCTAGCATGAACATGGGGCTCCTGCTGAGATCTCAGTTGTGTGAGACCACCATATAAATGAACATCTGAATAGGAGGCATGTCAACACCGTGTCAGAAATATGTATATGATACCAGAGGGGGTGCTGGGTGGGTATGTGCAAATGCACAGATGACCACTTGAAGAAGTCACAGGTAAGGAGGCCTGCCTTTATTCTTCTTGGTCTCTGTGCATCACACATGTGGGCGACTGTCAAGCTTATCTTATGGGGGAGGCTGGTGTTGCTCAGTGAAGAAGAGGGGTAAGGACAGCTCTAGCAAATGTGCAGTCCTCTCCAGCTCGAACATCGAGATGATAACAACAAATGAAGGTCAAGGAATTTGACCATGTCGCTGCTCTAGAGAGGTCGGTGAAAGACACTCCTGCATATAGGGCTGTGGAGGTCAAAGTAGCTCAGACAGAATATGCTCTAACAGAGCCAGGCAGATAGAGACCAGAGAGTTTATACGCCAGAGGTATAGGGTGGACTATCCATTTAGACAGCTTCTGGGAGGGAATAGGCATTCCACAGTGTGGGCCACCCTATGAAATAAAGAGTCTCTATGACTGTTTGATGGATTGAGTCCTGGATTTATAGAAAGCTAATGCCCTATGGACATCTAGAGAATAGAGGGTCAGTTCTATAGTGTTGGAAAAATTCTAAAAGAAAGCCAGTAGGACAATGGTCTCATTGATATGGAAGGAAAAGATTAGTAGGAAAGTAGGGTCAGGGCACAGTACAACCTTGTCCTTATGAAAGGCGATATAAGGAGGGTCAATTCAAAGAGCAGCGAGTTCACTGGCTTGGCAGGCAAAGGTAATGGCTATCAAGAAGACAGTTATCCAAGAGAGAAGGTAGAGATCTGTCGAAGTCATAGTTTCAAACAGAGACTTGGTGAGAGCATGAAGGACAACGGAAAGGCTCCAGGACAGAGGAGGTCATTTGAGAGATGAATGAAGGTCCCATTGGAGAGGTCTAGTAGATGGGGGAACCAGTGTTGTCTGGCCACCAGGGCATTATAAAGATGGAGTCCATGCGATCTTGAGAGGTCCTCATGAGGACTTTAGGAATTAGGGGAAACGGATGGAAGAGTTAGAATTGGTTCCCATTCTAGGACAGGAGAAAGACATCTCCCAACGATTGGGTGCTACTGAACAAAAAGTGAACAAAAAGGGTCACAAACATTGTTGTGCTGCATAGCAAATAGGCCCACCTGGGGGATGCACAGACTGGTGGAATGAGGCTTGGTCCTTGTATCAAACGATGTTAGAAACCAAAGCTGGAGAGGTCTTATATGTAGTCGAGCCAGAGGAATGCCTGGAATTGATGAAGACATTAGGCCAAGGCTGCGCAGGACCATTGTGGTGGTCACTGAATAAGCATTGATAAGGGAAGTGACCTATCTGGTCAAAGTAGATAATCCATCCTGGGATAAAAAGGCCTTCACAGAGGTGGAACTGAGTCAAGCTCTGATGAAGTGGATCAGCTGTGTAGGAAAAAGGCAAGATTTAGTTGGATTAATGTGCAGACTGAGTTGTTTAAGTAGAGAATATGTGAAGTCAGTGGCTTGTGGAGAGGCTTCTCTGAATGAACCTATTATGAGCCAGTCATCTAGATAGGGATATATGTGGATATATGTGGACCTCATTGAGGTGAAGGTAGGCACAAAAACGGCCATGCATTTTGTAAATACACGGGGTGCACTTGCCAGGCCAAAGGAGAGGATGGTGAACAGGAAGGGTTCATCATTCATCTGAAAGCAAAGGAAATGCCATCGGGCCTCCTCATTCAAAATATGAAAATAAGCATCCTTAAGGTCTACAGACATAAACCAAACACCTTTGCAGAGTAGTGGGAGAATAGTGTGGCAGATCTGAGACAAGGGATCTTGATGCTTAGTCTGTGTAGCAGAATGATGGCATGTAGCAGTAGGCTGTGGTTTGTATGGGTGCCACTTATGAGAGGTGTGGCATCTTGAAGGTAGTATCTGATTCAGACCCATGCAACAGACGGTTTTTCTTGCCTTTTGGACAGAGTCCATATGATCATAAGTGGTTTCATGGAATACACCTACCCCATCAAATGGCTTATCTTCAGTTCTTGCCTTGTGTTTCAACAGAGAGGCCAGAAGATCAAAGCAAGCAAAGCAACAAAGACCTATCACCCCTATCATATTTTGGGCTCTGCATTCCGCCGGATGTCACACGGTATGGATTTCCTGTCTGGCCAGGTGAGTAGCCTCCTTTTTAATTTCATTGGCCAAGTTTGGGGCATCTTTAGGAAGAGATGAGCAAAGGAATGCTACTCTATCTGATAGCATCAGATATCTGGCCATGGTGGGTTGATAATTTGCTATCTTGATGGAAAGAGCCACGGAAGAGTAAAAGTGGTGACCAACTGCGTCAGATGGGGTGGAATGTTCTCTTCCCGAGTGGCTTTGAGAGGACTCAGCAAAAATGGAATTGGATTGAAGATGCTGAAACAGAAATGCAGCATTTTTCTCTTTAACTCAATACACTCAGCCGTCTGAGTGGGATGGTGTAACATGGTGTCCTGCAACAGCAGGGGGTTGGACTTGATGGCCTTCATGGTCCCTTCCAACTCTTCTATTGTAAGTCTTCTTCTATTCTATGATTCTATATTTTTGATTTGTCAAGTCACCCTTCTGGAAGAGCCATTGATGTGGCTGGAGAATTCTATTCATGGTGCGCTGCTTCAAGGAGCATGAGTAAGAGTAGAATAGTAACTGGGCCAGCTGCCTCAGCACAGACCACCTCAAAAACTGGATCTTTTGCCCTGGTAGGTTCTTGTTTAGGATTGAGTCTAAAGCTATGTGCCATATGGAGGACTTGAGGAGAAAATAGACCAGTCTTCTGAAGTGTAGGAAAAAATCGTGCCTCAGTACCGGTGTATCAGGGAGTATGTAAGAGCATCAGTCTGGAAAGAATATATCTGAGATGGATGTATGGTACCCACGTTCAGAATGAGTATGCTCAATTAAGTCTGGGCAATGGCTGGGCAAGCTAGAGTGAGGCAGTCTGTCACAGAATGGAACTAATTGTCTAGAATCTGTAGAAAGCCAGGAAAGTGTTACAGCAAAGTGGCCCGGGAAGAATATCAAATCCAGTCAGGTCCAATGAGGTCCTCCATGCCTAGAGTTGACTGAGCCAGCGATCCCTACAGTACTCCATATCAAAGTCATCTTAATGTGGAGGGGGTGTTTGATGGGTTCTGTGGTTTTTGTTAGAGGCCAGAGATTGAGTGTGGTAGTGGGGTCAAGGCTGCTTGGTATGGAGAAAAACACTTAGAAGGTACAGGAGAGATGCCTTTCTGAACCAAAAACAGGTATGGGCGTAGTATTACTGCAGGCGATGGGTCGCAAAGACAAGTACTTTTCAGATGCTGAGACTGAGGTTCTTGTTTTGATTTCAATGTTGGGGCAAAAGGGTGGCTTGGATCTTGGGTCAGCACTGTGTCTTCAGTACACAGGAGGCCAGTAACAGGACGAATGTCCAAGTGTTTCTGAGTATGTTCACTATTCTTCTTCTCTTTAGTAAGGGTGAGTGATTTTGGAGCCTTACTCTACTCTTTTTGTCTGATTTTTTTTTCAACTTCCCCATCTTTGGTACTTTTGATGGAAGAGGATCTAAGTTTTCATCAATATTAAAGGAAACAGAAGTACCCAAGGTGAACGGTTAGGCATTGTCCACATGGAGGGTGAACCTTGACAATTCGGCTTTTAAGTGATCTGCTCAATGTTTTCTTGCCTGTTTGGTGAAAGCCTGGCAATGGTAGCAGGTGTCAATGACATGAGTTTCTCCCAGACAAAAAAAGCACAGAGACTGACTGTCTGTAGGAGGAAGTTTACTGCCACATGTCATGCTATTGTGAAAAAGTGCTTTGAGCACCATTTTGTCTATTCAATGAAGGTGAAGGGAAAGAAGAAGGTGAGAATAATTATATTATTCTCTCTCTCTCTCTATCAAGAGGATAAATGGTGAGAAGAACCTGATAATACAGGAATCTAAAAGTAGTCGAGAGACGAACAACTTTGCGAAATAAGTGGAGGAGGAACTTTCCAATGCACTCATTATGGTGGCTGAAGAAGAACTGAGATCACAGTGGGAGTCCTGCCTTCACACTAAGTGTGTTTATGGGCTGGCTTCCCGCCTAAGAATAAATCAGCTTTGGAATCTTCCTGAAACAACTCCACGCATGCACGCAGAGCCCACATGTGTGATGCACAGAGACCAAGAAGAATAAAGATTTCTTCCACTGAATAAAAGAAATTTTGATTCTAACTCAACACTGCCAAAATGCTTGGTCTAGTAAACTACCAGAATACAAAACAAGGATCTCTTTCAGTTGATCAAAATCTCAACTGTTCCAGACCAGAAACCTCATAATTATGCAATATATGTAATTTCTTCAACATAGCAATAAATTCAGAAAAGCATTTGTACTTGCAAGATACATTCATTATACATTAGGATTATATAAAGAAAAACATATATCTGGTATATTAGCATAAAGTATTTGGTTAATACATATTCCCCTTTAAAAATTCTAAAAATGATGGCTCAAACATTATTCAGTATATTATTGTTTCTCCCTAGTTTACCATAAGCCCTAGAATCCTTGACAATGACATTCTACATAGCATGGTAAGAGTTGTCTGAAAAAATGTTTTTGACTTTGTAATAAAACAAAACATAATGCATCAACATGAAAATTAAATCATTAAATCAACAGAAACTATCTGGATGAACTGCTTTATCAGAATGTTACAGGCTGTAAAATGGGCTGTCTGCCAATCTATTTAATATTGATCTGGACCATTAACAACTTGCTTATCAAATGAACTAAAAATACTTACTTTCAATTTTAAAATAATATTTAACTCAGCATAATAGTTAAATTCTATTTTAATACAACCCCCATTACATATGAGTAATATTTAAGGTTGAGATATATATAAGAAGCATACTTACAGATTGTATATCTTGTAATGGTTTTTATGTTTTGAATCCAAAAACCTTAAAGGAAAATACAGGTCAAACATATTTGATACCATTCTTTTACAATGCTGTTCAAAAATCAATATAGATCTAAAACTAAACACTGACACCATTTTTTTAGTGCATTGCATGCAAATGTAGTAACTTGTACTGCTGCTCTCTACTCAGACAAGCTATTCCTAAGACCTACTAATATCTGCCAGAGTGTCAGATTGTAATTGCATATTTTAATACTAAGAAGCATTCCTCTTATTTAAGCTGAGCTGTAACACTATCTAGCAGGTGTTATTTTAAGGAGTCTTGTTTTAACACAAATGATAATTAAAATTCATAATAACAATTTTAAATTTTATAAAATCAACCTCAAACAGACATTTTAAGCCCAGTTCAGATGGCAAAACTGAAATAGCACAATTTTTGAATTCATCGAAGAACACACCAGTATCTTACCCACATATTATAAATTCAGCTCCAAATCCAATAGGAATTACTTCCAAGGAAAAAAGCAGGTTGCTTACCTGTAACTGATGTTCTTCGAGTGGCCATCTGTGCAGTCACACATACGGGTGCTGCACCTGCACAGTGCCTTTGGCCAGAAGATTACAAGCTAATGGTTTATTTTGGCGGGAAAAAGCCCCGCTCCCCCTCCCCCACAGCCTATAAAGAGCGGAGCATCCACCATTTTGTTCAGTCTTTGACGACCGAACGGACGCCCTCTTGTGGAAAAAATGACTTGTAAATGAGTTCTATTGTAAACAGTATCGGTACCGAGAGAACAATGAATATCGGTACCAAGAAACAATGATAACATTCAATAAGGACAGAGGTCCACTCACTGACACTGAGCGGGGCCAGTGGGTGGGTTGTGTGACCGCACAGATGGCCACTCGAAGAACATCAGTTACAGGTAAGCAACCTGCTTTTCTTCGTCGTGGCCTCTGTGCATCACACATATGGGTAGATTAACAAGCTTACCATAACGGAGGAGGGAAGGTGTCCTCAACAAAGAACAGATGAAAGAACGGCTCTGCCGAAGGAACAATCTTGTTGAGCGCGGACGTCTAAGCAGTAATGTTTGGCGAAAGTGCAAGGATTCGCCCAAGTAGCAGCTCTACATACATCGTCCATTGGTATTCCCAATGTGAAGGCCGATGAGGTAGCCACAGCCCTAGTCGAATGGCCTTGAGGGGTAGTGGGCAAGTCGATATTGCCCAGTTGGTAAGACAGGGTGATGGTATGAACTATCCACTTAGAAAGTCTCTGCAGAGTGACAGGGGTACCTTGGCCCCTGGTAGCATATTTAATGAAAAGTCTATGTGAACGTTGGATAGACTCAGTCCTGGATCTGTAGAATGCTAAACAGCGTCGAATGTCAAGTGAATGTAATGTCTTTTCTAACGGAGTAGATGGAGCCAGAAAAAAGGCAGGTAAAATAATATCTTGCCCCATGTGAAAGGATGTGGATACCTTAGCCAGAAAAAATGGATCAAGCCGCAGGACAACCTTTTCTCTATGAAAATTGAGATAAGGTGGGCCTACACGCAAAGCGCAGAGTTCACTGGCCCTCCAGGCTGAGGTAACCGCAACTAGGAATGCTGTCTTCCATGAGACAAGATGTAAATCAACTATGGCCAACGGTTCGAAAGTAGCTCTCATAAGCGCTTGCAGAACAACAGAGACTCCAGATGGGCATTACTGGTCTGATCGACAGATTCAGATTATAAAGTCCCTTCAAAAACCTTTTAATAGTAGGTTGGGAGAAAATGGACAAACCGTCCACCATACCCCGATGATAAGCGATGGCCGCCATATATACTTTAATCGAAGATGGTTTCAGTCCAGAGTGGTGTAATTCCAGGAGGAACTGAAGAATTTGAGGAACTGACGATGTAAATGGAGAGAATGAACGAGAGTCAGCAAAGGCGGAGAAACGCTTCCATTTAGCTTTGTAAGACCTCCGTGTAGAAGGCTTTAAAGCGGAGTCCAATATGCATTGAATGTCCGGATGAAAGGCTGTCGGATTTGATGGCACAGTAGTCGGATCCGACAGTGCTGGTGCAGTGCCGTCCCCAGCGGATTCGGAGGTTGCAACTGTGCTGGGTTCGAAAGTAGAGTTCGAACCTTTTGAAGTAGTTGTCGGTGTAGATGTAACGAGGACAGTAGTGGATTCGAAGGTTGGATTCGAACCCCTTGGAGTAGTGACTGGTAGAGACATAGTGAAGTCAGCTGTCGGATTCGCCACGCTGTTAGTTTTAATGATAATATATCTAGGTGACGAAGTGCGCCGTCTTTCTGGGTTATCAAGAATGGGAGCGGTGGAAGATGTAGGTATTCCCCGTGAGAAATGTCCAGCAGTGTGGGAAACCAAGGTTGGCGTGGCCACCAAGGAGTAATTAGTATCCCTGTGGCCTGATCGCAAACAGTCTTCGCTATGACTCTCATCACCAGCGGAATTGGTGGGAAGGTGTAGAAATTCAGATTGTTCCATGGAATCATGAAGGAGTCCCCTAGGGATTCGTGTCCGATTCCTGCTCTCGAGCAGAAAGTCGCACACACCTTGTTCTGTTGTGTGGCGAACAAGTCCACGTCGGGGAACCCCCAGCGATGGAAAAGGTCATCGCGTGTCTGGGGGTCCAGTTCCCATTCGTGAGAGATGAGCATGCGCCTGCTGAGAAGATCTGCTTCCACGTTGTCCGTACCTGCCAGATGGACTGCTATTATCGTAATATCTCTCGAAATGCACCAGTCCCAGATCTGCATAGAAAGTCTGGCCAGGGTTGGAGACTTCGTCCCGCCTTGCTTGTTCAGATAAAAAATGGTGCCTATGTTGTCTGATGTTATCTGAACAACCCAATGTTGAAGAACATCTTCGAAAGAGCGTAGGGCTTTGAACACTGCCAACAATTCCAGGAAGCTGATATGCTTCGTGGATTCTTGACGAGTCCACGTGCCTTGAGTATACAGGCTGGAGCATATCGCTCCCCAACCTAGAAGAGACGCGTTGGTACCGACTGTAATCGATGGGCCTCGGGACCTGAAGGGGACCCCAACAGTCAGATTGGTCGGGTTCGACCACCATATTAGCGAATGGAGGACCGAGGATGGGACTCGAAGGAGTTTCAATGGTGGATCCCTCTGTGGGTGGAACACTTTGTTGAAAAACAGCTGCAACGGACGGAGTCGCAGTCTGGCATGCGGCACCACTAAACCGGTGGAAGCCATATGTCCTAGAAGTCTCTGGATGGACTTCGCCGGAACCAATCTGTCTCGTCACATTTGATCAACATGGCAAGCGAGAGTCAGTTGTCTGTCCCGAGGGAGAAACGTCTTCTCCAGCGTGGAATCCAAGTGGGCTCCAATGAACGTAAGCTTCTGTACCAGAAGGAGAGAAGATTTCTCAGTATTAATGCAAAGGCCCAGGTCGTCCAATAAGGCGCAGGTAATACAGATAGAAGTGAGGAGCGCTTCCCTGGACCTGGAGACTAGGAGCCAGTCATTGAGGTAAGGATAAACTTGTATGCCCTGGAGGCGCAGATAAGCACAGACAGGGGCCATGCATTTAGTAAACACCCTCGGAGCGGTAGCCAAACTGAAAGGTAGAACCATGAATTAGTAGAAATTGGGGGCAACAGCAAAACGAAGGAAACGTCTATATTTGGGATGGATTACAATATGAAAATAGGCGTCCTTCAAGTCCAATGAGGCGAACCAGTCCTCTTTCCTAAGCAGCGGCAAAATATTTTGGAGGGTGGTCATTCGAAACTTCCTCGTCACGATGAATCGATTCAGACCGCATAAGTCCAAAATCGGACGTAGGCCACCGTCCCGTTTGGGAACGGTAAAGTATCTAGAATAGAATCCGTGATGCCCGTCATATTGAGTTACTTGACGAATCGCTCCTTTACGAAGAAGTTGTTGTATTTCATCGAGCAGTACTGGTGTGCAAGATGTAAACCGAATCGGACTCGATGGAGGAATGGTGTCGAATTCTATCCTATAGCCGTGCTGTATGATAGATAATATCCATCCATCAGATGTGATGGACTCCCAAATGGGGAGTCGGCTTCGCAGCCGGTCCCCAGATGAGAGGGGGGTGGGTATAGGATAGGGTAGAGGAATGGTTCGCCAGTCCCGTCAACACTGCTTCCTGTTATCATATCGGCGACGGCCCTGCTGGTAGCGTTTCTGGGGCTGTTGTCGACGGCGCTGCTGCTGTTGCCTGTGCTGAGGCTGTTGCCTGGGATGATACGGCTGTCTGTAGGGCGGACGGTTCCATGGCCACTTACGCCTCGGAAGCGACTGGAGCTCCATTCGTCGGGCCGTCATGCGGGACTCATGAAGTTTTTAAAGTTTATGGTCCGTCTTTGAATGGAAAAGCCCGGACCCGTCAAAGGGCATTTCCTCGATGTGCCGCTTGGTCTCTTCGGGGAAGTTGGCGCTCCTCAGCCATGCATGCCTGCGAAGAGAAATGGCACTGACCAATGCCCTCGAGTTAGTGTCCACATGGTGCCTGGCTGTGGACAACTGTTGCACCGCGACGTGCATCGCCTCCTTAATCAAGCCTTTGGCCAATTTGCCTTGTTGGTCTGGGAGGGCTGAGATGACGTTGTGGAGGCATTGCATTATAAAATACTGGTATCTCGCCAACGTCGCCTCATAGTTTGAGATACGCAGCCCCAAGCCTGAAGCTGCGTAGACCCTCCTGGCCAGGGAGTCGATCTTGCGGCCCTCCTTATCTCGTGGCGCGGTGTGACCCCTTGCCTCTCTTCCCTGGGAGGACTCCACCACAACTGAGTTTGGCTTGGGGTGTCAGAGGAGGAATGGTATGTCCTCCTCCCAAACCCGGTACATGGCTTCGTACCTCCGTGATGTTGGTTGAGGTTGAGAGGGCAAGTCCCAGGGCTGGGTCATCGCCTGCCGTAGGGTGGTGATCAAGGGCAGGACGATGGAGGTGGACTGCTTCCCGCAGACGACGTCACAGATTTTATCTGTAGACGGTCCAGGCCGCTGGACGGCGT